AGAGACATTTAAGAGGATCTCTAAAATATTCACATTTTTGGTGCCACTTAAAAAGGTGTAATTGTTTTGTTCACACCAACATATGCAGATGTGTTAACAAAGTAACAAACACCATCAAACATTGGAAAAGTGAATATTTTTCAATTGAGTTGTCAGCCAGTTGTCCCTGACTAGATTGTTTCTGAAGTGAAATGTATGCTTTTGAATTACTCCAACAGACATTAACCCTTTCCTCACATTATCCCAGTCCTCAGGCCATAAGACTCTAAGAGCTCTGTAAGTGCCTCCATAACTGTTTATCTGTTTGCATCTGGCTATTTATTTATTTATGTATATATCATATTCCATTTACGTGTATATAGACTATTCTTGCACTATTTCTATTTCTATTTGTATTTACTTGCACATTTTGCAAAATTCTCTTGCACTATTTTATTTCTATTCTGTTATTTCTTTCAGTATTTTTATTGGTTTTATGCCCTATATATATTATGTTGCATTGTTGAAGGAGCCTGGGACTTAAGTTTTTCATAACCATAATTACACTGTAGCTAATGTGCATGACAATAAAGCTTTGAATCTTTGAAAAGTCATGACCATCAACACTAACACTGGCTGTCACTACACACCGTACCATACCCATGTTACATTCATATTCATACTGTTATATCTATCTATTCTTATGCATATGTGTTAGGAAAATATCACTCGTCACCGGCTTGAGCTTCAATATCAGGATCCATGTATTTATTATCCTCTCAAGAATGGAAGTAGTCATCACAAACAGAGCATTTGGTACAACTAGTTCCCGAATAGTGTCCATCACATGCTTATATACAAGAGAGGGAGTTACACAGTCACAAGATACAGGAGTTCAAAGCAGTATTCAATGCTTAGTTCAGATTAGCTAAGGCCCACGTAAGCAATAAACATGACAGTCATATGTCTATCTCCATAGAGGCTGAATCACCATGTTAATCACATAGCTATCATATGCTAAAACCTATAGTTATGCCAGATTTAGAAAGAAGAAGAGAAGAAGAATATACCCTTAATTGTCCCACAGAGGGGAAATGTACATTCTGCATTTGACCCCTCATAGTGTTAGGAGCAGTGGGCTGCCATTATGCAGAAGAAGATAAAGACTGTATTTCTTATTTCTGTTTCCCACTGACTGAATAAAATACCTTTTAAAAACTTTTAAATGGTATTTGAAACCATTAAAGCGGTCTAATTTAGCCAGAATGTGTTGTACATTAAAATATCTAACAGTAAATACAAGTATATCTTAATCAACCCATGAATGAATAAGTTGATTGAGAGTAAATGTCAAATGTTTTAAATGTAAAGATGGAAAAGAATCATGGTTCAAGCTTTCGAATGTAAGGCTTTGCTGCTTTTCCTTTTAATTATATAAAATGTATAATATAATAATGTTAACAAAGCGGTAGGAAGATTTGACTCTGTGTCCTTTTGACAGCATTTCTCACATTTTAAAAAAGTTTAATAAATCAAAATATTAATTGATGAAACAAAGAATATTTAGCAGATTTATAAAAAGAGAAGTAGGTGCAATTACCTCCATAATGTGGTTTGAATTATAATAATGAACAACCTTGTAATACTTGAAAAACATTTTCCTGATAACACATTACCTAAACTTATGTTTAAGAAATGTATGTAAGACTTTCTGTTGTAATTTCTCGTGTGGTAAAGGATCTGAATACTTCCTCCATCCAACAAAATAATATTACATTAATGGAAATTATAATAATAATAATAACTAAAATAACACAGTATAAAAAGAAAGTTTGATCACATACGTTTTATTAAAAGATCCCAAAAACTGAATCCAGTAAAAATGTAAAACAAATTAAGAAAGAATCAGGCAAGAACAGATTAATTCAGATTGTATATGTGTGCAAGAATAAATGTGTAAAATAAACATTTCACTGACATTTTTCCCCAAAAATTGATTGTAGTGAATAGGAATTTAAAAAGAACCTCGTCACCTAATGGTAAAGTTTCACCATAATTAGTGACTCTGCGGATAATCAGGTTAATGTGAGCATGCACATCCAGAGACAGATCTGATCTTCATGTCGAAGGTTTTCAGGGAGTACTTCGAGCCCTTCCATGTAGTCCAGACAACCCCAACAGAGGTATATACAGCGGTGGTCCGAGGTGCGTACAAGCCGGTGGGGTTGGCATGATGGCATTTGGAGTACCAGAATCCACCGAGAAAAGTCAGAGCGCAGTTTATACTGTGAGTGTCCTGATCTCTGTCAAACGTTGTGAACTTCATGTTGTTGTGGTATGTCAAACTGTCCCCTAGAAATACAAATAAAAACAAACAAACTTGAAACCCAGAGACACTTATTTTAATGCCAATGTGTGTCAGTGGGTAATATATTTTATTTTAATGACTAAAAGAACAATAGGTACAGCACATGTATGCCTCTTAAATAGTGATAGAATGTAACCGGGCACATTTGTATTTAAGTAGAATATTAAGGTATTTCTATTTTATGTAATTTAATAAAAGTTTTCTAATATTACATTTCTCACACGTCCAAATTGCAACACTTTAATTCCCCCAGAAATACCCACCAAGTATCATATATATAGAGAGGACATATTATGCTAGTTTTCAGGTTCATATTTGTATTTTGTGTCTCTTATATGACTGTGACATGCTTTAATGTTCAAAAAGCACTTTATCTTTCTCATACTGCCTGTGCTGCAGCACCTCTTTTCACCCTCTGTCTGAAACCAGAGCCCAGTCTGCTCTGATTGGTTAGCTGACCAGCACAGGTTGTGATTTGTGAACCGCTTAGAGATACCCCGCTCCTTAGCCTATCGCGTAAGATGTGTTGGAAAGCTAGACAATACAAGCAAGAGTGTTACGTAGTGATGTCACTATGTTACGGAAGTAAACAAAGGAGTCCAATGGAGGCGTTTAAGACATGGGGGGAGTGTGGGAGAGAAACTCCCTCTGGAGGGAGCTTTGGGAATTTAGCCCAGACCATTTACATGCACAAAAAACTATATAACACTACAGGGAAGGGGACCCCCCCCCCCCCCCCAAAAAAACATTAGGGCCTCTTTAAACCTACATTTCCCAAAGTAATATCCACACAGTAATCCTTACCTGCGTTTCCGCCAGTGAATTTGCCCAGGTGAAGCTCATAACCGTGATTCTCAGAATCGATGGAGAAGGAGGAGTACTTGGCGTACCTCTTCCCCCCCTCCCAGTCCTCCATGTCGACCCGCAGCTCGTTCTCCTTCCTCAGAGTCAGCAGGAGGATGTTTTCCAGGCCTTAGTAAAGGAACAAAACATCTGTTTCACATAACCTCCTGAACCATTAGTTAACCTCTTTCCCCCTCAGATCATCTCATTTAAAATTATACTTCACTGACCAATGAATTATCAGTAAAAAAGTAAAGCCAAAATGACACAATGTGTAGTGTAGCAGTGTATTGTTGAGACTGTCTGAGATTGGAATGTTTTTCTTCTTTCTTAAGCTAAACATACAGTTTCATATATGGAGCAAAGCCTGCAAGTTGAGGCAGTCACAGGGGCCAGTCAGTAACGCTGACCTGGGACCCCCCTGTTACCCCCTCCAAAATAAAAATGTATAATATTACAGTGCCTTATATTCAGAGTTGCAGCAAATACTGTTTATGTAATTTAATTTAATTGTAACTTAGTTACTAAAACAAGTACTGTAAAGGACAAAAAAATAACAACTGAAACAAAGAACTGTAACTTACAGTTACTGAAATAAATAACTGTACAGAAGCACATAGCAATTACTGTATTTTATGTTTATTTTACGCAATTACTATACTGTCGTATAACCCGTGTTTATTGTATAATATAAATATAAAAAGAACTGCCCCCCCCCCCCCCCCCCCCAGTAAAATTGGTCTCGAACCATCACTGGGCAGTCACACCAGCATGTTCCAGTGGGCACCAATCATTTACATTTTCCTTCATCTGCCAGCATATTAAGATGAGACATGTGTTGAATTTATTAGTTGAACACTCACCGAGCCAATATTCTCCTGCCAGGTTCCCAAATCCGGCTTTATAGTGACTCCAGGGCCTGTAGAAGCTTTCAGTCCCATCCATCCTCTTGAGAAATACCTGAGAGGAAGAGTAGGAAGAAGAGTGATACAGGATAATAGGATACCAACATGTTGTACTACAATAACTACATTTGGACAACTTTACAAAGTATCTTGACCAGTAAACAGGACTGTTGGTTCCGTTTTCAAGTCATGAGTTCCCAAAGCAGGTTTACAAGGTGTACAAAAAAAAAAAAGCACACAGTCTGATAAAATCTGATATACTGACCGTCCATCTGCCCCCGTCAGTGTTCATGTCACAGAAGACTTGCAGGGGAGTGTCGGGACCCCCGGGGAAGATGGTGTACACCCCACTGGAGCTGGTGTTGTCATTGCAATAGATATCATTGCAGTCGATGGGCAGAAAGTCCTTCGAGCCAGTGGCAGCTGAGGCTAAAAACCCAAGAAGAGCCACGAACAATGTCACCTGGATGCAAAAGAGAGGAGATTTTAAATGCCTACAGCACCTTTTGAAGTGATTTCCTGCACAGTTTTTAATGGTAATAAATTAGTTTATTCATGATTATTAATTTGCTCAAAGTAGATCAGTTTGAGACAGCTCCAAGTATTGATGCTAGTATTGATTATCAAGAGAGGACAGAGACATTTAAAATAGTGTTTTCTTACCTGCATCATCTTCATCGTGGAGAGGAAGGTCTACGCTGAGTTCACTCTGTTGTTTGAGGTGACTCTTGTTTGGAACCTAGGCATTTATACAGACTGTGGATCACGTGTTTTTGGAAGTGCGTGACAAGTTGTGTTATTTTAAGGTTTATGAATGGTTGGTTGTATTAGATATAAATATATAATATAATATATAATATATAAACACGGAAGAAAAGGAAAGGCAAAAATGTAACCAGCATTCATTACTGGAATAGGTTGAAGAACCTGATCAACTGGATGTGACAGAAGGTACTGGAATGGAGAAAGACTTGTGACACTGGAGCAGGAGCCATTTTCAACAAAAAAAAAAGATTTGCCCACTTTCTAACAGTGCCACAGATTCTCGATGGGATGATATCTGGTCTTTGAGCCACTTTAGGACATTAACCTTTTTGTTGTTTAACCACTAGTGTGTTGCCTCGGCCTTGTGCTTGGGATCATTGTTCTGCTAAAAGGTGAAGAAGAAGGTTCTCCCTGTATTGTGCTGTATCCATTCTTCTGAGATACTCAGTCCCTGCTGACGAAAAGCATGCCAACAGCATGATAGTGATAACGCCAAGTATTATGCAGAGCTCTCTAAAAGGTTTGCTGGTACACCTTCACTCCACGTTTAGCCACTGAACTCTGTAGCTCCTTGATTGTGATTGTTGGCTTCTGGTCTCAGTATTGCTTGTGTAGAATACTGTAATGCAGCTTCCACCTCTTTAGATTCTCAGTCGGAGCTATGATACTCAAACTATTGGAGGGTTTTACCCAGAAAATGAGAGCTATTCTAATGTTTCACAGGTGGGGCCAATTGTAGAGCCTACAGCGTCTTTGTTTGAGGAATAGTTTTCATTTGTGTCAACTTGTAGCTTCCAAAGCACTGGGGTTTTCTGTATACAAAACTAATTTCACATTGAAGGTCAGTCTTCTAAAATGAAATATCAGAACAAAATCCTAACGTTTTGATCCTTTGTAATCCAAACAAATCAGATAAGTTTCAAGTGGGTGAACACTGTTGCAAGTCAGTTTATGGACTACAACTAATTACACAAACAAGGAATCTCTATCTGTGGACCCAAGGACCAAAAGCTACAAGTTTAATATTAATACGGTTTAAATAAACAATGAAATAACAATGGGAACTATCTGAGAAACTACTGTGAACAGACAAGGCCACACAGACTGAAGGAACAAAAGAGAAAGGTTGAACAGGGACAGGTGAATCTGATTAGGGCAGGTTATCGCAAAGCCGGGAAACACACCAGGAAATAAAATGAATAGATTGGACAAGGGCCCAGAATGTGACAAAAAAGCATTCAGTATTCTTTATTTGGAAGAAGTTGAATAAAACATTTTAAAAACAGCTTAAAAATCAATACAAATAAATAAAATATTGGGGAGTTTCACTCAGGATGTGACCTATAGAGATCATGTATATTCCAGTTATTGTAATAACTGATTATATATTTTAAATTTAAAATAAACTTAATTTCAACCAACACACCACCAACATCTTCAAAAGGAGCCAACAAAGATTATCCGTCATCCATAAACTCGAAGAACTGTACGTTTCCCCCCCTCTTCTCCGTCTGTACCAAAACAGTATCAATATGCTCACTGTCACCAACCAGACCAAACTCACACGCATCACCAACACTGCTGCCAGCGTGATTGGACTCCCTACACCCAACCTCACAGTGCTTAACAACAGGGCCATCTCACGCATAGCAACCACAACAGAACTGGACATCACACACCCACTCAATCAATTCCTCGCCAGTTTGGTATTTTGAGCAAAACACATCATAGATATGTTTTTTATGTATTTGTATATATCTGAGACCCATAATATATGCCTAAAAATAGCATGATAGGAGATCTTTAACCTCTTAAGCCCTGAGCCTGTTTTTCAGGTTTCAGACTCGAAAATGCCACTAACACAACAAAGACTATATCTTCACTTCTAAAAGGGATAAATTAATAATCTTTTTTCTCAAAGCAAGGTTACATCTGTGAGTTGGATGTAGAAGTGTCCGAATCAATATAGATGTTTTTATTTTAAAGTAAATTCATATGGAACATAGTAAAAACATGTAAATTCTAATCTCCGCCTAAAAAAAAACATTACTTATAGAGAAAACCACCCTTGAATGATGGGCTAGTAGACTAAAAGCTTTAGGAATCCAAACTATAACATATAATAAGTACCCTGTATCAAGATTGATGCAAAACAAGTGAAATCGGACCTTTTTAGAGAGGTTTAGAAAAATAAAGTCCAGGCGGACTCACCTCTGGGTAATTTGGGAACCATCAGTTCCATTTCCATTTTATTACTTTGAATTATCACTATAGGTATTCATTCCATCCAAATACAACTGTTGTAAAAAAAAAAAAAACATACAAAATGAAGTTTGACTCCAATTGGAGCAGATTTATTTCAAACATTTTACAGATTTATTTCAAACATTTTACAGATTTATTTCAAACATTTTACAAACACACTATACAATAAAACCACACTCTAGATAGGTAGACTTTATACTTACCTCCTGAATGTAAAACGTTATACTTACCTCCTGAATGTTACAATATTTTGGCATGCCACTCCTGGTAACAATTATTTTTGATATTCAAGCACAGAGGGACCTGGCACTTCACGCAGTGCCAAGGTGTCTTCACCCTCTTTTTGCCAGCATCATGGCAGTTCCTGCAGTACTTCCTGATACGGACATCTTTCCCATAAAACATGGGCCCGCATGTGAGTGGTGGGGGGGGTGGTGGAGGTGCAGAGCCTTCAGCATATTCCAACATTTCTGCAGCAAGCTGCTCCCTGAAAGTCTTCTGTGTGTGTGGCTTTGTCCTGCTGGGGTCACTCTTCATCTTGTACAGCTCCTTGTGGAGAAGGAAGCTGTTCACAACTGCAATGTCCATAAAATGGTAAAAAAAAGTCTTGTACCATTTCATCATTTTGTGGAGAACGCTGTAGTACCCGATCAAAGCGTCAGACACATCCACGCCGCCCATGCTTCGGTTGTAGTCAAACACAGCGCCAGGAACGGGAACAGTCTTTGTCTGCCACACACCAGCCTGTTAATATAATTATAATAAGTTGAGGAATGTGAGGGTGAGGCAGGTGTGGGCTGGGTGAAAGTAGACAATGGTGAAGCCATTTCATCCTCATCTCCATCACTATGAAAACAAATGTGGAAAAACAAAGAGATTAGATTCATTCCTGTAATTCCTGTTATATCTCTCACAGGCTCCGCCCTCTACTGGACTCTATGGGTAAGGTTCAAGGTTCAAGGTTCAAGGTTCTTTATTGTCAATCTGACATAGCTACAGAGTAATTATGCAGTTGAAAATCTTATGTCACAGGCTTCTCCAACAATGCAACATAATAACATAACATAATAACAATAAGAGCAAGAGCAATACAAAAATAATAATAGTTATAAAAATGAAATAAAGTTATGATGTGGAATAGTGCAGTATGAGTCTATATACAAGTTATTGGAATGATATATATATATTAGGTATTAGATACATACTACTGAGTAGCAGTTGAATGTTTGAAGTTGTTTCAACAGTTCAATTTTTTTAACAGTCTCACTGCCCGCGGGAAGAAACTGTCTCCGAATCTTCTTGTCCTTGCCAGGATGCTGCGGTAACGTCTGCCAGACGGCAACAGAAAGAACAGTTTGTGGCTGGGGTGATGGGGGTCTTTGATAATCCGTAGTGATTTCTTCCTGAGCCGCTGGGAGTAAAGGTCCTCCATGGATGGCAGCTCCGTCCTGGTGATGTGCTGTGCAGTTTTCACCACCCTCTGTAAAGCCTTACGATCGAGGTCGGTGCAGCTGCCGTACCAGGCCGTCATGCTGCCAGTGAGGATACTCTCTATCGTGCACCTGTAGAAGTTGCAGAGTATCCTGGAATCCATTTTGAACCTCCTCAACCTGCGGAGGAAGAAGAGCCGCTGTCGAGCTTTCTTGGTGATGGTGGTGGTGTGAAGAGACCATGTCAGGTCCTCAGTGATGTGGACCCCAAGGAACCTGAAGCTTTTGACTCTCTCCACCGTAGTCCCATTGATGGCGATGGGGGCGTGTCCCTCTCCCTGCTGCTTCCTGTAGTCCACAATCAGCTCCTTTGTTTTGCTGATGTTGAGATGGAGGTTGTTCTCCTGGCACCAAGATGTCAGGTTTTCGACCTCCTCTCTGTACGCCGTCTCGTCATCGTCTGTGATCTGGCCGATGACGGTCGTGTCATCAGCAAACTTCACGATGGTGTTGGAGCTGTGTGTGGCCACGCAGTCGTGGGTGAACAGGGAGTAGAGGAGAGGGCTGAGCACGCAGCCTTGAGGGGCACCGGTGTTGAGAATCAGGGTGGAGGATGTGATATTTCCCACCCGCACTGCCTGGGGTCTGCCCGTCAGGAAGTTCAGGATCCAGTCACAGAGGGCGCTGTTGAGCCCGAGGTCTCTGAGCTTGATGGCCAGCTTGGAGGGCACAATGGTGTTGAATGCTGAACTGTAGTCAATGAACAGCATTCTCACATATGTGTTCCTGTTCTTCGGGTCCAGGTGTGAGAGGGCAGTGTGGAGGGTGAGGGCTATGGCGTCGTCTGTGGACCTGTTTGCTCTGTAGGCAAACTGCAGGGGGTCCAGAGATTCAGGGAGGGAGGAGGTGATGAATAATTTGACTAACCGCTCAAAGCACTTCATTATGATGGAGGTGAGTGCTACTGGGCGGTAGTCGTTGGGGCAGGTGATGATTGTCTTTTTGGGGACAGGAATGATGGTGGAGTGTTTAAGACATGTGGGGACTACAGACTGCAGCAGGGACCTGTTGAAGATGTCTGTGAACACCTCTGCCAGCTGAACTGCACACACCCTGAGAACACGGCCAGGGATGCCATCAGGTCCAGGAGCCTTGTGTGGGTTAACCCTTTTAAAGGATTTACACACATCTGCCCTATTTAAAACAAAAGGGCAGTGTAGCTCCTGGTCCCTCTGTACCTCCACAGCCTGGCTGCTCTCAAAGCGTGCAAAAAAACTGTTTAGCTCATCTGGGAGAGATGCGCACGCAGACACTCCCGCAGCACCCCCCGCTGCTCCTTTGTAGTCAGTCATTGTCCTTAGTCCCGCCCACATATTCCTAGTGTTACAGCCTTTGAAGTCAGATTCCACCTTGTCTTTGTACTGTCTCTTTGCATTTTTTATTGCTCTCCGGAGATCATACCTAGACTTCCTGTACTCCTCCAAATCTCCCGCTGTGTGCGCGAGAGTGCGCGCTTTCAGTTTGCCGCGCACCTCACCGTTTACCCAGGGCTTTTGATTTGGGAATGTCCGTACAGAAACCTTCGGTACCACGTCATCGATGCATTTCCCAATGTAGCAGATGACAGTGTCCGTGTGTGTGTTGATGTTATTGTCCTCAAACACACTCCAATCCGTAGATGCAAAGCAATCCTGCAGTGCTGAATCTGACTCCTCGCTCCATCGTTGTACTGTCCTTGTTATCGGTCTGTCCCTTTTAAGTTTCTGCTTGTAAGCAGGCAACAACAGTAGTGAGATATGGTCTGATTTGCCGAAGGGAGGGCGAGGGAGAGCCTTATATCCATTCCGGAAAGGGGAATAAACATGGTCCAGTATGTTTCCCCCCGCGCGTCGGGAAGTTGATGTGTTGGTAATATTTTGGCAAAACCTTCTTCATGTTGGCGGTGTTGAAATCTCCGGCCACAACGAACGCCGCATCTGGCCGTGAAGTCTCGGTTTTATCAATAAACCCAAACAGCTGATCGAGTGCCGTGTTGTTGTCGGCGAGTGGCTGCGGCGGGATATACACTGCTGTTATCACAACAGATGTGAATTCCCTCGGCAGATGGAAGGCCCGACATGAGATCATGAGGTGCTCTAGCTGTGCGGAACAGTCCGATGAAATAATCTTCACATCTGAGCACCAGTTGTTGTTAGTCATTACACACACACCGCCTCCCTTACTTTTCCCCGAGTTTGCAGTCCGGTCCTGACGAAAAATAGAGAATCCGTCAGGGACAATAGCGGAGTCCGGGATAGCGGGGTTGAGCCAAGTCTCAGTGAGAATTAACACGTTACAGTTCTTAATGTCCCGTTGAAAAGCAATCCGGCTTCTGAGTTCATCTAGCTTATTTTCAATGGATTGAACATTAGCCAGAAGAATACTCGGAAGAGGGGGCCGATTCTCACGTTTTCTCAGTCTGACCAGCAACCCGGCCCGGCATCCCCGCTTTGTCTTCTTCTTGCGTCTCTCAGGTAGAACAGCAACAGGTAGCCATGGTGGATCTCCATTGTTTGTCGGAGGGTTAATATTGTCCACGAAGTTTCGCAATTGGAAAAGTTCCTCTCTGCTATATTGTATGGCAGAGTAGGTGCGGTCGGCTAGCATGTTGCGAACCATGTTAAAAGTAAAACGGCAAAAGTAAAAGAAATATGTACAAAATGCGAAAATGGGCAAAGTTGGAGAGGAGCACAAAGACGATGCGGCCATCGTCACCGGCGCATCATTCATACTATTCATCATTCATACTACCTTATCCCGCGTGCATTCTCCCACTGAGACTTCTATAGACGTAGCCGGCCCAGGGCGGGCCTACCTGAATGCGCGCCGCATCACACCGTATAAAAGGAGGCCTCGCCTCCTGACTGCCATCCTTTTTCTCTTCAGCTAAGCGGAAGTGATTCCACAGAAGACGTAAGACGTATTGAAGTGAAAGTAATAGAGAGAGAGTATGGCTGGACCATAGGACCTGCCCGAATTGTCCGAACCTGATTTCAGGAGTCGATCCGCACCCCCTCTGCTTCACGTGTTTGGGGCCCGACCACGCGATGAACGGTATGGGCTCGACGCCGGCGTGCTCGGCCTGCCAGGCGATCCCGCGGCGCACGAGGGAGCATCGTCGGCAGCACTTCCTGGAGAAGATTGCCCGCAGGAGGAGTCGGAGGAGCTGGATCTCGACGTCGTGGACATGGGCGATTCGGGAAGCGAGGGGAAGCGAGGGGACATCGTTCCGGTTCTCCCTGCCGTGGGGCCAGACGGCCCCGGTTCCGATGATCGACGACGAGGACGCCTCGCTATCCGGAGGTCCAACTCTCAGCTCTGCGCGGATGGATTTCCCAGCGGTGATGACTCTGGCGGCGGAGCGTGTAGGTTTACTGCTCCCCCCACCGCTGCCACCGAGGCCTGTAAACCGCCTGAGATCGGGGGTTTATGGCCCGGTGCATCCGGCGCAGCCGACCTTCGTTTCGCCCCAGCTGCCAGAGGTATGGCGGTGTGTGGAGGCGACATGGCAGCAGCCATTTAAAACGAAGGCCCCGATAATCTTGGCGTGTTGGCGTCTTCCTGATCACCCTCAGGCAGACGCCCCCGCCCTCCCGTCTCAGGACGAGAGCGATTATTCGGACCACGCTGTTAGTCAGATGAGTAATCTGATTTATGGCGTGGCCACCGCAGCAGGGCGGATGATTTCCCTGGCCACAGTGGCATCTCGTCACGTGTGGCCAGGGCTCACGGCCCTATCTAAAAAGGACCGAGAAGATCTCCTCGGAGCCCCCGTGTCCACGGAGGGGCTCTTTGGGTCGGTCTCCTCGGTCACCCAGTCAGCCGCCTAGAGGAGGAGAGAGTCCAGCTTAGCCGCATGCTATCGCTGGCTCCTCCTCAGGCCCTGCTACGTGCCCCCCTCGCATGCCATGCAGAGGAGGGAGCGTAGTACGACAGTGAAGCGGAGGGAGAGGCGCCGGCACGGGGGTCCCGTAGCTGCAGCGCCCTCCACCTCTACGGCCCACCCCGTGGCACCGGCATACCGGCAATCACGGGGAGGGGCTGCCCAACCGAGGCAGGCTCCGCAACAGCAGAGCACCCGGGTGGGGAACTCCATCTTCGCTGAGTTATCTGTCTATTTAATGCCCAGATCTCTGTCAAAACTTTTAAAATAAAGATGGTGTTGATCTGTATCCAAGTCTGAGTGTCCTTTGTTTCCACAATACACTTGTACATGTTGATGACTGTACAAATTCCCCACTCGCTGCCCCAGCTAATAGCTCCCGTTAGGGAGTAGGCTAGTGGGAGTGCGCAGATGAGAGTGATAAACCGCAGGCAGCACTGTTATAGTGCGGTGCGGGTACAGGGACATTATGGCCGATGTTTTTCTGTTAGAAAACATTCTATGCCTGAAACTAAGACTCAAAATAATGCTGTTCACTATAGTGATAGGGGCTGCATTATAGCAACGCCCGCACTTGTAAAGAGGAAATTGTTCCAGAGCACAGAAAGTATCTGCGTTTTGCCTTCCAGGGAACAGCCTACGAGTACAACAGGCTGCCGTTCGGTTATTCCCTATCCCCACGCACATTCAGCAAATGTGTAGCCACAGCGCTTCAACCGCTGCGCGCACATGGTATGAGAGTTTTCTTTTACATAGACGACCTCATAGTCATGGCTGGGTCCCGGGAACAGGCAATGTTTTGCACAGCACAGTTGATCACACACCTAACCAAATTAGGTTTTGCGATCAATTGGAAAAAGAGCACCCCCATACCTCGCCAACAGGCGTTGTATTTGGGTGTGGTGCTCAATGCAGACGCGCTGCATGCACATCCAGAGACGGATCTGATCTTCATGTCGAAGGTTTTCAGGGAGTACTGCGAGCCCTTCCATGTAGTCCAGACAACCCCAACAGAGGTATATACAGTGGTGGTCCGAGGTGCGTACAAGCCGGTGGGGTTGGCATGATGGCATTTGGAGTACCAGAATCCACGAGAAAAGTCAGAGCGCAGTTTGTACTGTCATTGTCCTGATCTCTGTCAAACGTTGTGAACTTCATGTTGTTCTGAAATGTCAAACTGTCCCCTAGAAATACAAATAAAAACAAACAAACTTGAAACCCAGAAACACTTATTTTAATGCCAATGTGTGTCAGTGGGTAATATATTTTATTTTAATGACTAAAAGAACAATAGGTACAGCACATGTATGCCTCTTAAATAGTGATAGAATATAACCGGGCACATTTGTATTTAAGAAGAATATTAAGGTATTTCTATTTTATGTAATTTAATAAAAGTTTTCTAATATTACATTTCTCACACGTCCAAATTACAACACTTTAAGTCCCCCAGAAATACCCACCAAGTGTCATATATATAGAGAGGACATATTATGCTAGTTTTCAGGTTCATATTTGTATTTTGTGTCTCTTCTATGACTGTGACATGCTTTAATGTTCAAAAAGGTCTTTATTTTTCTCATACTGCCTGTGCTGCAGCACCTCTTTTCACCCTCTGTCTGAAACCAGAGCCCAGTCTGCTCTGATTGGTTAGCTGGCCAGCACAGGTTGTGATTTGTGAACCGCTTAGAGATACCCCGCCCCTTAGCCTATCGCGTAAGATGCGTTGGAAAGCTAGACAATACAAGCAAGAGTGTTACGTAGTGATGTCACTATGTTACGGAGGTAAACAAAGGAGTCCAATGGAGGCGTTTAAGACATGGGGGGAGTGTGGGAGAGAAACTCCCTCTGGAGGGAGATTTGGGAAATTAGCCCAGACCATTTACATGCACAAAAAACTATATAACACTACAGGGAAGGGGAACCCCCCCCCAAAAAAACATTAGGGCCTCTTTAAACCTACATTTCCCAAAGTAATATACACACAGTATTCCTTACCTGCGTTTCCACCAGTGAATTTGCCCAGGTGAAGCTCATAACCGTGATTCTCAGAATCGATGGAGAAGGAGGAGTACTTGGCGTCTGCCTTCCCCCCCTCCCAGTCCTCCATGTCGACCCGCAGCTCGTTCTCCTTCCTCAGAGTCAGCAGGAGGATGTTTTCCAGGCCTTAGAAAAGGAACACAACATCTGTTTCATATAACCTCCTGAACCATTAGTTAACCTCTTTCCTCCTCAGATCGTCTCATTTAAAATTATACTTCACTGCCCAATGAATTATCAGTAAAAAAGTACAGCCAAAATGACACAATGTGTAGTTTAGCAGTGTATTGTTGGTATTTTCTCTGAGATTGGAAGGTTTTTCTTCTTCCTTAAGCTAAACATACAGTTTCATATATGGAGCAAAGCCTGCAAGTTGAGGCAGTCACAGGGGCCAGTCAGTAACGCCCTGTTACCCCCTCCAAAATAAAAATGTATAATATTACAGTGCCTTATATTCAGAGTTGCAGCAAATACTGTTTATGTCATTTATTTTAATTGTAACTTAGTTACTAAAACAAGTACTGTAAAGGACAAAAAAATAACTACTCAAACAAAGAACTGTAACTTACAGTTACTGAAATAAATAACTGTACAGAAGCACATAGCAATTACTGTATTTTATGTTTATTTTACGCAATTACTATACTGTCTTTTTCTTTTTTAACCTGTGTTTATTGTATAATATAAATACAAAAATAGCTGGCCCCAGCCTGGTCCCCCCAGTAAAATTGGTCTAGAGCCGTCACTGGGCAGTCACACCAGCATTCACAATCATTTACATTTTCCTTCATCTGCCAGCATATTAAGATGAAAAATGTGTTGAATTTATTAGTTGAACACTCACCGAGCCAATATTCTCCTGCCAGGTTCCCAAATCCGGCCTTATAGTGACTCCAGGGCCTGTAGAAGTTTTCAGTCCCATCCATCCTCTTGAGAAATACCTTAGAGGAAGAGTAGGAAGAAGAGTGATACAGGATAATAGGATACCAACATGTTGTACTACAATAACTACATTTGGACAACTTTACAAAGTATCTTGACCAGTAAACAGGACTGTTGGTTCCGTTTTCAAGTCATGAGTTCCCAAAGCAGGTTTACAAGGTGTACAAAAAAAAAAAGCACACAGTCTGATAAAATCTGATATACTGACCGTCCATCTGCCCCCGTCAGTGTTCATGTCACAGAAGACTTGCAGGGGAGTGTCGGGACCCCCGGGGAAGATGGTGTACACCCCACTGGAGCTGGTGTTGTCATTGCAATAGATATCATTGCAGTCGATGGGCAGAAAGTCCTTCGAGCCAGTGGCAGCTGAGGCTAAAAACCCAAGAAGAGCCACGAATAATGTCACCTGGATGCAAAAGAGAGGAGATTTTAAATGCCTACAGCACCTTTTGAAGTGATTTCCTGCACAGTTTTTAATGGTAATAAATTAGTTTATTCATGATTATTAATTTGCTCAAAGTAGATCAGTTTGAGACAGCTCCAAGTATTGATGCTAGTATTGATTATCAAGAGAGGACAGAGACATTTAAAATAGTGTTTTCTTACCTGCATCATCTTCATCGTGGAGAGGAAGGTCTACGCTGAGTTCACTCTGTTGTTTGAGGTGACTCTTGTTTGGAACCTAGGCATTTATACAGACTGTGGATCACGTGTTTTTGGAAGTGCGTGACAAGTTGTGTTATTTTAAGGTTTATGAATGGTTGGTTGTATTAGATAGGCACATAGCCAATATATAAACACGGAAGAAAAGGAAAGGCAAAAATGTAACCAGCATTCATTACTGGAATAGGTTGACGAACCTTGATGTGACAGAAGGTACTGGAATGGAGAAATTCCGTTTTCAAGTCATGAGTTCCCAAAGCAGGTTTACAAGGTGTACAAAAAAAAAAGCACACAGTCTGATAAAATCTGATATACTTCATTTCATTTAATTTCAAACCTTTATTTATCCAGGTTGTATCCCATTGAGATCATTGACCTCTTTTTCAAGGGAGACCTGCTCAAGTAGGTTCCACATGAAACATTAAAAACATAAACAGAACAACAAAAGGACATCATACAGTAGCATTACAGGGATTACAATGTACATACTATCGACACGCACAGGTACCAACAGCTTCCGATTCAGTAGCATCCAACCGAGCTTTAAAAACATTTAGTGGCACCAGATTGCTCAGTTTCCATTTTAATTGCAGACTATTCCAGGACAGTGGAGCTGCGCATCTAAATGCTATTTTCCCTAAGACAGTCCTAGCAGTTGGCACATTTAATAAAACCACAGCATGCGATCTCAGGCAGTAGCCACTTACAATTCGCCGTGAGATCAGGGAGCAGATGTAGGATGGAAGTTTCCCTAACATGGCTTTATATATAAAAATGTACCAGTGACTGAGCCTCCGTACAGTTAGTGAAGGCAGACCAGCCCTTGCATACAGGGTACAGTGATGGGTTAATGCTTTACAGTTTGTCACAAATCTCAGTGCACTGTGATACGCAGCATCTAACTTGACCAGGCAATTGGCAGGTGCATTCATATAAATCAGATCACCATAGTCCAGCACAGGTAAAAAGGTCACAGTGACTAGCCTTTTTCTGGCCTCGAGCGAGAAACAGGACTTGTTCCTGTAGAAGAAACCTAGCCTAACCCTCAGTTTTTTAAGCAGGTTATTGACATGATGTTTAAAAGTGAGACAATCATCAAGCCAGATACCAAGGTATTTGTAACAGGCAACCACTTCAAGTTTTATTCCTTGCATAGTTAAAATATCTAAAACAGGCTCTGGTGTCTTTTTGGCTTTTGAAAAGAGCATTACCTTGGTTTTATCAACATTTAAAAGAAGCTTTAGTTCAGAGAGCTGAGTCTGAATAATGTTAAAAGCAGCTTGCAATTCAACAACAGCCTCCTTAATGGAGGGACATGCACAGTACATAACGGTATCGTCCGCATAAAAATGTAAGGTTGCTCCATCGACATTTTCACCTAAACTATTGATGTAGATGGAGAATAAAAGTGGACCTAAAACAGAACCTTGAGGAACACCATTAGTAATGTTTAACCACTCAGAAGACAGCCCATCAAAATGAACACATTGGGACCTTTCAGAGAGGTAGTTCACAAACCACCCCACTGCATGGCTGGATATGCCAATACTGAGTAGCCTCTGCTTTAAGATGCGATGATCGACGGTATCAAACGCTTTGGAAAGGTCAATAAATAGAGCTGCACAGCTCTGCTTATTATCTAAAATACTCGCCACATCATTCACCACTTTCATTGTGGCAGTGATGGTGCTATGTTGCTTTCTGAAGCCTGACTGATGTTTAGACAGGATGTCATTTGTACATAAAAACACCTTTACCTGTTCACTCACTAGGCGTTCAAGAACCTTAGCCAGAACTGATAATTTAGAGATGGGCCTATAATTATTTAAAACAGTTGCCTCCCCTCCTTTCAGCAAAGGCAGGACATACGCTGACTTCCACAGTTTTAGAATTGTGTTTGTGCTGAGGGAGAGGTTAAAAAGAGTAGTGAGAGGTGGAGCAATAAAATCTGCAGCTATCTTTAAAAAGAAAGGTTCTACGTTGTCCGGGCCGGCCGGTTTCTTAGGATCTAACTTGGTTAAAGCTTCACGAACAACATCAACAGTAAAAGGAGTAAAACTGAAAGGGTTTTCCAGACCACATTGTTCAGAGTCACAGAAGCAGAGTTAGTCACAGAATCAAACATAAAACCGCAGGACACAAAATGCTCATTAAAACAATTTAACATAGTAGCCCTGTCCGATATAGTGCCAGATGCTGTGGTAATGCACGGAGGTAGCTCATTTCGGATCTCACCGGTGGATAGCGATTTTATGGCTTTCCAAAATTTCCTTGGATTATTTAGGTTTTCTGTAGTAACTGACAAATAGTACTTCGACTTAGCACTTTTGACCTGTGAAGTGAAGCTATTTCTTAGTTGCCTAAAACGCAGCCATTCAACCTCTGAGCCTGATTTCCTAGCCTTTGCCCAGGCCTTGTTTCTCTCATGTAGGAGACTGGACAGTTCAGCAGAAAACCAAGGATTGTCTCGTCCCTTTACTCTAAAAGTACACAGATCGATTTTTCCCCAATCAAACCCAAACAGATCATGAACAAAACCCTGCTCCACAAAATGTCTCTTAATAATAATACGGGGTTTAACCTTTTGGACCTTAGTGTCCCTAATTGTGGCTACAACACAGTGGTCACTCACATCATTTGCAAATACTCCCACAGATGGGTATTTATAGGGAACATTAGTTAGAATGAGATCAATTAGGGATGATTTATTAGGGGACTTAACGTTAGGGCGAGTAGGACTGTCAACAATCTGAGTAACATTCAGAGAGATACAAAGGTTTTTAAAATCCTCTGATACTGCAGTTAACCAGTCCCAGTTAAAATCTCCAAGTAGCACTATTTCCTTGTAGTCTAGTTGTGATAAAAGTTTTGCTAGTGAAGACAAGGAGTCCTTGATAGCTGAGGGGGGTCTGTAACAGCCCACCACCATGACTTGTTGCCCCTTTGCCACTTCTATATTTAAGGCTAAAAATTTGAATTGCTTACTGACAGATTTGGAGATCAATGTGGTTACACTGAACTTATTCTTAACATAAATGGCAACTCCACCACCTTTATTAGGCCGGTCGGTACGATACACATTATAACCATTTAAGGATATGTCAGAAGCCAAAATAGTTTTATTTAGCCATGTTTCTGATAACACAATGACGTCAGCGTCAGTCGAGCTTGCCCAAATGCGGACAAAATCTAGTTTACCTAACAGACTGCGCACATTCAAGTGGATGAAACCCAACCCAGATCTAGCTTTAAAATCAGCAGGAGTAGCGATCTGACTACTACTACTGGGCGGACCAGGGTTAGGTTGAACATTTCCTGACAGTAATAACAACAAAAAAAACAGGCATCTTTTCCTCTTAATCGACACACACACATTGTCATCTACTTTAGAATCACCGGAAAAGTCTGCGAGAGTTTGATTAGAGTTTGAGAAGCAGTCCTGAAGAACCATCATCGCAGGCAAACAAAAAAGACAAACATATTTTGTCGAGCAGATTGTCTGCGACAAGGTGACCGGTAAATGTTTGTGTAACACATCCGACCCTTTGCAGGGGATGCCTACTGCGGGTGGCAGAACAGACCTGAATCCAGTAGGCTTCTCAGGATGACTAGAGATCTTCTCATAGTCCAGAACAGTTAACAGGCACAGCAGAATCACGATATGGGCCATCCTCCCAGACCAGCACACAATATCCGCGATGTTCCCGGGGCAAAAATCCTCCTCCTCACAGCAGCAAAGGACAGGCGAAAGCAGCAGCGAGGAAGCGCACCGGTCTCTCCGTGGTATCCCCGGGGTAAAAGGTCTCCTCAGCAAGCAGCACACGACACTGGAACACACGACAGGTGGGAGCAGGCCTCCGTAACAGCAGAACCAGTACAGGTGGAGAGCAGGCCCCAGCCGCGGCAAAATCCTCCTCCGCACAGCAGCACACGCCTGGTGAAAGCAGGCCCCAGCCCGAAGCGTGGAGCCACTCTACAGGTGGGAGAAGGCCTCCGCAGATCTTAGATGACCTGATTGTGGTTTCAGTAGTGTGTAGGGTGTGAGAGTAATTCACAGATATTGCCCTAATGCTGCCGCTTATTCATGCGACGAACATCGTCGAGAAAGTCTAAAGACAACGTCGTGGCAAATACTACTGTATAGAAAAAGGCACCTAAATCACATCAAAACGTTTTAAAGTAACGAGCATATGGATGCACGGACAAGCGCTGAAAACTTGCATCCGAATCTTCCGGGTGCGCGTAACCGATAGTATATGCAGTTGACCATCTGAGGGGGAGTAGGTCAGGACTAGAAATACATGTCCATGTACCGTCCATCTGCCCCCGTCAGTGTTCATGTCACAGAAGACTTGCAGGGGAGTGTCGGGACCCCCGGGGAAGATAGTGTACACCCCACTGGAGCTGGTGTTGTCATGGCAATAGATATCATTGCAGTCGATGGGCAGAAAGTCCTTCGAGCCAGTGGCAGCTGAGGCTAAAAACCCAAGAAGAGCCACGAATAATGTCACCTGGATGCAAAAGAGAAGAGATTTTAAATACCTACAGCAGCATTTGAAGTGATTTCCTGCACAGTTTTTAATGGTTATACATGAGTTTATTCATGGTTATTAATTTGCCCAGAGTTGATCACGTTTGAGACAGCTCCAAGTATTGATGCTTGTATTGATTATTAGCAGAGGACAGAGACATTTAATCCTATATATGTGTGTGTTTTCTTACCTGCATCATCTTCATCGTGGAGAGGAAGGTCTACGCTGAGTTCACTCTGTTGTTTGAGGTGACTCTTTTTTGGAACCTAGGCATTTATACAGATGGTGCATCACCTGTTTTTGGAAGTGCGTGACAAGCTTTGTTATTTTAAGGTTTATGATTATATGTTGGGGAATGAAGTAGACACATAGCCAATATAGAAACACACAAAGAAAAGGCAAATATGTAACCAGCATTCATTCCTGGAATAGGTTGATGAACCTTGATAAACTGGATGTGACAGAAGGTACTGGAACTGAGAAAGACTTGTGGTGGAGCTTGGCGGTGTGTTGTGTTAATACTCCACCCAGATTGAATGTTTACCCTAAGAAAAAAGGTTCTGAGAGGCTAGTGTACACAGCACAGGTGACAAAGGTGAGAGTTAGTGGGGGGGGGAGTTCAAATTCAAAGACACAAGAGAGAGAGTATCAGGCCCAATGTTTTAAAAACCAGGACGAAGGACAGAAAAAATGTAATCGATAAAAAAAAAGGTGGCCCGTCTGGCTTGGCAAGGGTTGAGTCTCTTATGCTGCAATCCATTAACATTGGAAGTCGGAGGTTCCTGCCCCGAGGAAGTGCAACGGACTTGCAAGCAAATGATCGTAGTGGCCAAACGGCGGTCCTACAATTCCCGAATCAGTCTGTGACGTCACTGGGCCAAAAGCCGAATACAGATCTATTTTCTCTCTCCATTCATTCTACTGAGCCGAGAGCGGGAGCTCGGGGGGCGGGGCTTAAGGGGCAACTCAACTCTATGATAGCACATACGGGTACTTCTGCTCTGACAGCCAGGCATGACGGGTAATCTGTGATGTTTCGCTCTCTCAAAAGTTTGGCCATTTTGACTTCATGCGCCTATAGAGTGGTGCAGTGACGAGTTCTAAAACCCGGAAGTGAGTTAGCATTTAACCACTACCGGTTCCCTCGTCTCAGAGTCAATGGGATTTCTCCATAGGATTTGGGAAAATAGCTCAAAATAAGGTCTGTGGTTGACACAAATGTAAGAGACGGATCACGTTTTGTTCTCCGACATTAAATACATCAGCAGTGACCCCACTGGTGATTCTTGAAGAGTTTACGTGTCTGAAAAACAATGCTTGTTAACAAGTGCTGAATAGGACTACAGAAGTTGTCGAGGACGTTGTACGTCATTACGCCGAACACGTAAACACTCCCGCTAAGTTTGTTTGCCCCTGTTCTGCTTGAAAGCTGCGCTCTTGCAAACTGTTAAAACAAACGCTTCAACTTGTACAATTTTGAATCTGTATTTTTGAATATCGATCTTAAAGCTCCCATGTCATGCTTTTCCGGTTATTACCTGTCCCCTTGGGTGCTATGAAGGTTTTTATGCATGTAAACGGTGTGCAGAGTCAAAACCCTCAAAGTACACCCTGTAGCGAGTAAAACTCTAACACAGAAAATACCTCCCCAAAACGTCTCGTTGGAGATACGTCACTGCCCATTTGATTCTTCCAGGTACCGCATGATGTCATGCGGTACCCGGAACGAAATGGACCAATCCCGAAGAGCTATGGCCACACCCAGCGGCGCTGGCCGCACCCTCTGCCAGCCTAACATTTACTGTTGGAAGCTCTGGTTCAGTTCACAATCGATCCAGTCATGCCACTGCCAAGGACCTGTTTCCTGAAATGTGAGGAGAAATCTGAGCTGTTTGTCCTACCGACGGAAGAACCACGACGAAGTCAGTGGTTCAAATTTCTTTTTAACACTGTTCCTTCAGAGGTTCGAAGAACCGGCATTTCACAGACGAAAGCTTCCAAAACATTGCCCAGTTTGAGGCCGGATATGCACAGCATTTGAAACTGAAGGACGATGCTATTCCTAGTTTGTTTGGACGGTTTGGAGCAGGGGAAGATTCGGGTACACATCCAGTAAGTTTGCATTGTTATTTGTGTATTTATCAAACAAGACTGTTTAAATGTATAAACTGTGTCGGACTGCTAAGCCATTGACACAGTGCTAACTGTGCTAACTAAGTTGCTAGCGTTTCCATATGTAGCAGGATGAGAGTCCTAATCCCTTAGAAAGCATATTCTCCTCTTTTGCCTCTTGTGAGCATGTCACCACCAGGGGGCACCCTATAAAAGGGCAGAGGTTTCTAGCTGGCTGTCTCTTGTTTGTTGGTACACAGACCCGCCCCACTTGCGTGTTTGCCGTGTTTGCTTCCGCCACCGGTGCAGGTATGTTGCAGTTGCATTGCTCGCTTCAGGAAAGGTTCTGCAATTTGCCAGCGTATTGATACTTAGCCCTGCTTTGCCTCACCTAGTGGTGGATCCTCCGGGTGCAGCCTGTCAACGCAGCCATAGAAAGCATGAAGCTCTCTCCTCTCTGCGTCATCGATAGGAAAGCCTGATCGGTATGTGCGCTGTACGGCGATCTATTTAGTCAATCCACCTCATTACTTTTATTGATATTAACGCTGTCTTTGTATTTATTCATAAACCTAGGGCCAATCCAATGATTAAGGGACATCTGCTGTTTTGCTTCACCGGATAAAGTGTATTTATCGGCACAACTGCTGTTGATCCTGCCTAAATGTTTGGGCTGCTGCTACTGTGTTGCTGCTTCTGATTGCTGCTTCTGGCCAGCTTTGCGTCGCCTACTGCGGAGGCTCGCTCACCAGTTAAAGTGCTACTTTAACTGCACGCCTTCCTGCTGCCTTGCTTGGGCCGACACTCGAAGTGTGGAAGTCATTGAACTCTGGGGCTAACTCCCCCCCTATAACTTGTCCTTACTTGGGCCAACTTGATTTAAATTAGTTTGTTTATTTTATTCTAGTTAATTGTTTATTTTGTTTCACTGAACCTTTTATCTTGTGATTTGTTTCATTCTTAAATGTTTACACAAGTTATCTGTTTATGAGAACATATTTGCTATTGTGTTTGTTTATTACTTTGATTTACTTATTTAGCCCCCATTAACTGCATTTCCCTCTTTGTTCCCCTACTTAGTTACTGAGAGCTGAAGGTGGTGGTGCTGGTGTCCAAGGTGGTGGTTTTCCTCTCTTCTTTTGTGTGTGATGTGCTCCCCCGGGATTTGATTTCCTGCACGTATGACTGGGGTGATTTAAGTTTGGTTTGTTTGGGGATCCTTCCACTCACTCGTCGACCCTATCCCCCCACTGGTAAGCCTCAGCCCCTAATTCATTTTTCCCCTTTGTGCTACAGCCCTGTGTGACTGTTTTAACCTGCATTTTAAACTATTGACTTGTGCTAAATAAAATTGTATATTTTTGATAAATTGAAACCACGTCTCCGGCTCCATTTGTCACAGTTCTGCTCCATCATTCACCAGTAGTTTTCCATTCACCTGTCTCACCTGTTAACCACACCCACGTTTTTGCTCACTCTCTTTCTCTTCTGCACCCATTAGCTTTACTGCCAGTATTTAAACCCTCACCAGACACACACCCATTGCCAGATCGTACTTTGTCTTCATGCTAGTCTTTCACGCGTTTGTCACCAGATTGCCCACCCGGTTCCGACCCTGCCTGTCCCTGACCTGCCTGCTCTGCCTGTTCCCTGATCCTGCCTGTCCCTGGACTATCCTGCCTTGCCTGCTGTCTGACCCTGCCTGTACCTACGTTGACCGCCTCGCCTGCTCCCTGACCCTCTGCCCGGCCCTGACTCACCTTCTGCCCGCTGTCCTCTGGTTCGTCGGCCTGCACATCATCCGGCTGATACTGTTCTGCTGGTATTCCTCTGCTCTGGTAGTATTACCAATAAAGTACATTACCAATACTCCTTGGTTTCTCGAGTGCTGCATTTGGGTCCTTCATAAGATCGTGACAGAACGATCTGGCCAGAACATGGACCCAGCGCACTCCTCTTCACCTAAAGACCGTTTCGAGAGAGTTGAGGACGCTCTCCAGAGGCAGGAAGCCTCGATAGCCTCCCTGGCCACCGAGGCTCATCATGCTAACTCTACACACGACCAGACTCTAACCTATTTAGCTGCGCAGCTACAGCAGCTAACGGCTACTGTGCAGCAGCTAGCGGCGGCAGTAGGGGCTGCTCCAGCGCCTCTTCCCATGCCGCCGGCACCCGCTTCTGCATTCTCTCCGATGGGATTTACCCCAGAGCCTCGGGTGGGAACTCCGGAGCGTTACGCCGGGGAACCGGAGGGCTGCAGCCCGTTTCTTACTAACTGTTCTATCCTGTTCGCGCTGCAGCCACACACTTTCGCTTCTGAAGCAGCTCGTGTGGCGTTCACGGTCAATCATCTGACTGGGAAAGCCCGACTGTGGGGCACAGCTGAATGGGAGCGGCAGACACCCGCCTGCTCTTCTTTCCCCGCTTTTTCCGCGGAGCTGCGCAAGGTGTTTGGACCCGTGTCTGTGGGTCCAGACGCTGCAGGAGGATTACTGAGCCTGAGCCAGCGAATGGATCTGTGGTGGATTATGCTATTGGGTTTCGCACCAAGGGCCGCCTCAGCAACTGGAATTCTGAAGCCCAGTGTGACGCCTATCTGCGTGGCTTGGCGGCTTACATTAAAGATGAGCTGGTGTCTTTTGATCTGCCCAACTCACTGGATGGGCTGATTGAGCTGACTTCCCGCATGGATCGGCGCATCCAGACACGGAGACGGGAGCGACGATCGGAGGGAGTTCAACATGCATGGGCGCCCCGACATCCGGGTTCGACTGGGACTCCTCCCCTCACTCCAGAGCCGCAACCAGGGGGTGATGAGCCCATGCAGGTGGGTCGCACCAGCCTCACCTTGGAGGAACGTGAACATCGCAGACGAGGTAACCTATGTCTCTACTGCGGCCGGGCCGGCCATTTTGTTTCTCGCTGCCCGGTAAAAGGCAAGGCTCAGCAGTAATGGGGAACATACTGGTGAGCCAAACCCCTGGATTTGTTCCCGCTCAGAGACCATTGAGCCACGCCAGGTTGCTATTACCGGATAGCTCTCAGGCTCTTGCAGTTTTTATTGACTCTGGTTCGGACGCGAGTATTATGGACGAAGAGCTTATGCTGCAGTTGGGAATAGACCGGGTTCCCTTATCTCGCCCAGTTCCAGCCAGCGCCTTAGACGGTCACCTGCTGGGGACAGTGACTCATCAGACTGTACCTGTTCACATGCTCCTGTCCGGGAACCATCACGAAACTATTCAGTTTCATGTTCTCCGGTCTCCACATATCCCGCTTATCCTGGGTTACCCATGGCTCCGCCGCCACAACCCTAACATTGACTGGGAGACGGAAGCCATTTTGGGGTGGAGCCCCTCTTGTCATCAGATCTGTCTGAAACAGGCTGCCGCGCCTCAGCGTTCGGTGAACCCCAGCCAAGTTCCGGATGTTACAGGGGTTCCACCGGAATATCTGGACTTTAAGGAAGTATTCAGCAAGACGAGGGCTACTTCCCTACCACCACACCGGCCTTACGACTGTGCCATCGACCTACATCCCGGTACCAGCCCTCCCAGGGGTCGATTGTACTCCCTGTCTGCTCCGGAAAGAGTTTCCATGGAGACGTACATCAATAACTCTCTGGCGGCTGGGATTATTCGCCCTTCCTCATCACCCGCTGGAGCGGGGTTCTTCTTTGTGGAGAAGAAGGACAAGACCCTAAGGCCCTGTATCGACTTTCGGGGTCTTAATGACATTACTATAAAAAATCGATACCCACTGCCTCTTATCTCCTCTGCATTCGAGTTGCTGCAGGGAGCAACCATATTCACCAAGCTGGACTTGCGTAACGCGTACCACTTGGTACGTATTCGCGAGGGGGATGAGTGGAAGACCGCCTTCAACACTGCCTCGGGGCACTACGAGTATCTGGTGATGCCTTTTGGACTTACCAACGCCCCTGCAGTATTCCAGGCGTTGGTAAATGACGTGCTCCGTGACATGTTGGACCGACACGTATTTATTTACTTGGATGACATCCTGATATTTTCCAAGACTCTGAAGGAACACGTGCACCACGTCCAGGCGGTTCTCAAGAGGTTGCTGGAGAACTCACTGTTTGTTAAAACGGAGAAGTGTGAGTTTCACACATCCTCTGTCTCTTTTCTGGGATACATCGTGGGACAGGGGAGCATTGAGATGGATCCCTCCAAGGTCGATGCAGTCACTTCCTGGCCGGTTCCAGACTCCCGGAAGCGGCTACAACAGTTCCTCGGGTTCGCCAACTTCTACCGGAGGTTCATTCGTGGATACAGCACCTTGGCCGTTCCACTCACAGCCCTGACCTCCTCTAAGGTTATGTTCCAGTGGTCCTCCTCGGCTGAGGAGGCGTTCCAGAACCTTAAGGCCAGGTTTACCTCCGCCCCCATCCTCCGAGTACCCGATCCTGAAAGACAATTTGTTTTGGAGGTGGATGCTTCTGATATGGGGGTGGGGGCCATCCTGTCTCAGCGATCAACAGACAGCCAAAAACTCCATCCCTGTGCTTTCTTTTCGAGGCGTTTGACACCAGCGGAAAGAAACTATGATGTTGGAAACCGGGAGCTGCTAGCAGTGAAGTTGGCTCTGGAGGAGTGGCGTCACTGGCTCGAGGGGACCAGTCAACCTTTCCTGGTGTGGACCGACCACAAGAATTTGGAATACATCCGGTCGGCCCGCAGACTGAATTCCCGACAGGCTAGATGGGCCCTATTTTTCACTCGGTTCAATTTCTCCCTCTCCTACCGCCCTGGTTCTCGGAACATTAAGGCTGACGCTCTGTCTCGTCAGTTTGGGGAGGGAGGTAACATTCCCAGAGGCTCAGACACCATCCTTCCGACTCCTCAGCTCGTCGCCGCCCTTACCTGGGAAGTGGAGGAGAGGGTCAAGGCCGCCCTGGATGACCAGCCGGGACCCAGTGCCTGTCCTCCGAACCGCCTGTTCGTTCCGCAGATGTTGAGGTCTGATGTTATCCAGTGGGCCCACAACTCCAGACTCACCTGCCATCCTGGTATCCAACGTACCCGGGAGGTAGTCCAGCAAAGGTTCTGGTGGGCAACACTTAAGGAGGACACCAGGGAATTTGTTAATGCCTGCCCTGTGTGCAATCAACACAAGTCTTCTCACCAAGCTCCTGCTGGTCTCCTACAACCTCTGCCTATCCCTCATCGCCGCTGGTCCCACATTTCTCTGGACTTTGTTACTGGTCTGCCACCGTCCAACGGGCACACTGCCATTTTGACGGTGGTAGACCGGTTCAGTAAGATGGCTCATTTTGTGCCGATACCCAAGCTCCCCTCAGCTAAAGAGACGGCGGAGCTGGTCCTGCTCCATGTGTTCCGGCTCCATGGGCTACCTACCGATGTGGTTTCCGATCGTGGTCCCCAATTTACCTCGGTGTTCTGGAGGGAATTCTGCACGCTCATTGGGGCCACGGTCAGTCTGTCTTCCGGTTTCCATCCTCAGTCCAACGGTCAGACCGAAAGGAAGAACCAGGAGATGGAGACGGCTTTACGTTGTATAGTCTCCAAGCACCCAGCGGCCTGGGCTAAACAACTGCTCTGGGTCGAGTACGCCCACAACACTTTGATCAGTTCGGCCACCAAGCTGTCCCCATTTCAGTGTGCATACGGGTTCCAACCCCCTCTGTTTCCGGCCCTGGAGAGGGAGGTTACCTGTCCGTCCGTTCAGGCTTTCATTCGTCGCTGTCGCCAGACCTGGAATCAAGCCCGGATAAC